CTGTCACTTGTTGTGCTGCACCCACTTCCTGCCCGGTAAGCCATGACCGTACTTTCTCGCGACTGGCTCGACTGCTCAGCCTGGATCTCCTACTGGCACTATCCTCTGCATTGTCCGCTTCTGCCAGGAGCAAAGCATACTTTTGCTTCAGAAAGTTTTCCTCTTCCTCAGCGATTCTCATCCTCGCAGCTGCCTGAGCTGCTTCTTCTTCCAGGATCCTTCTTGTCCGCATGGATTTCTGCTCTTCTAGCATTCTCAGATTGAGATCTACCCTAGATGAGCGTTTGCTTGACATCGAACGACCAGTTGACACTTGGGACTGCAACACAGAATCCTCCTCACGGCACTGGTTGCATCTCCAACTGCGATTAACTTCGGCTATGGAGTCTGTCACTCCCGCGCATCCAAAATGCATCCATATCATACAGGTATCACAACCGACGAGATTGTCTGCCGTATCTGGTCGATCGCATTTGACGCAATGTTTGCCTTCCATCTTTCGTTCGATCGACTTGATCCAAAAAGAAATCCTTTGAAGTTTGTTTCGGATTGGGAGAGAAACGCGTCCCGATAGCAGGTTGTACCCAGCTTCAAAGCTGTAATATATTAAATACGTAAATTATAATGTTGATCGAGTTCAAATAAATTCATCTTACGATTTCGTGTTCTCCTCTAATCTAACCCGAAACTATCTTCCAAATTTGGAAATTATTTAATTCCTTACTTGTAACAAGCTGTGATAATAGTTTAAATATATAGTTTAGCATTTTAAATTCACATTATATCGTATGTACTTACTATTAAGTTTCTAATTTTAGGCAAAACGTCACCCAGTGCAAAGCTGAAGTAATTGCCACCTATATCAAATTTAGAATAAGTATTTTTTATAGAAAGTAAGATGAACAATAATTTACCTAGTCACTTTGCATTTACTAGATCATAATTTTATCTAATTAGCCTGATTAGAAAATAATTAAGCGTTACTTTTAAGAATTTAACTTTAATTTTCCTTGTTTTTATTCGTTGTTTCACGTTTGTGTTTCTTCTGTGTCAACGATTTTTATGCTGCCTGTGACGTTTGAGAGCCACGTCACCCGTTGTACTCTCCCTGACGTTTTCGCTGACAGGTCTTGGGTGATATGGAACTCACTCAGCTACCAAACGAGACTGCCCTGTGGCCAACTACTCAGAAGCACTAAGTCTAAGTATTCAAGATTATTGTCATTTAGGTATCGTTGAATTTCTGAGTTTACCATTTTAAAAATTCTTTCCGTTGTATGCTGCATAAGCGATTGTAATTTAACCTATAAAAAGGAAAATCAAAACCTTTATTATTAGTTTATTCAATATCAATGCATCAACTCACTTGTATTTTTTGTTGACGTTTCTTCAATGCACTCTACCGGAGGAGAGCAGATCGTTTTCATAGTTTGTATCACTTTATAAATAGGAAACCTCGCGTGTCTGTGTCTGTTCGTACACATATTTACAGTACACAGTCTAGAAAATACTCAAATGCTTCTTCAGCTGACATCATTTCTCGAGAATCTTTAAAAGTAACAAACATTTTGGCAGCATTGTCACTGTTCTTCAAAATGTGACCAATCACTTTAACAAGACTGGTTTCACGACGATTGTACGCAGTTCTTCTTGCTACCAAAAGCGCTTTATCTATCGAATCCATTTTTGGATCGATCTATTCATCGTTTATTTTCTGCCTTTTACTACGCTCGCTTGATACATCGAATTGTTTTGATAACCGTCCACGTCCCGATGAAATTGAAGGTTCTGGTTCTATGTTAAACTGTGCGTCAAGAAAATCCTTATTAACAAATTCAAAACGCTTATTGTGTCTGTTATCCTTTTCCCATAGATGTCGGAATTATAAGTCAATATTTTTTTTATTTTTTCAAAAGCTGCAGTTGTTTGTTTTTATTCACTCGGAAGTTTTTGCAGATGTACAGAAATGCCTTTTCAATTCTTTGAGTTTGCTGCCCTGGGGCTCTCAAAATACTAATAACTTTTCGGTTCTCCATATTATCTTTAAATAATCACTTCTCACACTTATATGCTTCATATTAATCACTTCAAGCCTTATATGCATGTAGGTACATACGGTGAATTTCTATCGATACCTAGGACGTGTGGAATAGTATTTCACTGTATGAATCATAATACCAATTCTGTTTTTAGAACATAACAACACAGATTCTACCTATCTCGATATCGACCGAGTTGAAAGAATAATGTTGTTTTTGGTACAGGGAGCTAAATTACTAACATGCGCCGGGAAAGCGCTCTATTATATCTGATCTTTTCAACTGTGGCACAACATCATTGTTTGTCAACTTGGACGTAAATTTAAGTAAATAATAGGTTTGTTCCCTCACATGCTTAAACGCTTCCGCTGTATGTTGTAGTAAAATAAAAATCAAATGCAAGATGTTAAAAACATGCATTTTGCCCATTTTGGACTTACTAATCTTAGTTTTCCCAGGCTTTTTTACAGTATCTTACAGCAACAGCAGAACAAAAGGTACGGGAACAGACCTTATGTTTACCCGAGTTCAAGCTGCCGAATATTTGATTTAACACTAATTATAATTTTTAAGTCAAATATATTCAATCTAGTCACAAGTGATATGATTTCACATACGCTGGAAATGACTTTCTATCTAGAAGAGTTTTAAAATTGTGGTGGTAAACACACACACACAAACAGTATGTGTGCCACTCGGTCCTGCCAGAATTGAAAACCCTATTTTAGTTGCGGGATATTGATTCTTGAAAATGGCATAAACCTCTTGCAAATTACACAATACTAATCTTCGTTGTACATATTTAAACCAGAAAAACTTCCTTGATTTCGTTGAACTTCGATGAAATTCTTCAAACTTTCCTGATGATCTTCGAACTTTTTTGAAGTTCGCAGAAAGTCTCTGAGTGTGTCATTTTTTTCCCCTGGATTTCTCAGATATTTCTTAATGTTCACAGTACTATCCTAATGTTAGTAAATTTTCCCTGTGGTTCACAGACCATTCTAAAGTTTGCAAAAATTTCCTGGCGCTTAAAGAACTTTTTGCAGAGCATCATTAAAATTCACATAATGTTGATATAGTTTACAAAACTCTCTTATCTTCGTAGAACTTACCAGGAGACAATAAACTCGCCTGAAGCTCACAACGTTCCTGAATTTGGCAGAATTTTTCTGAAGTTTAAGATTGAAGCACAGCAAAGTTTGAATAATTTTCCTGAAACTTGTAGAACTTCCCTGAAGCTCAATGAGCTTCTCTGTAAGTTGCTCTGATTCTTTGGAGGAGCGTCTTTAAAATTTGCAGAACTTCCTAAAATTCATTACAGTTCCCTATAGTTCGCGGAATTTCCTATAAAGTCGCTGAACCTTCCTGAAAGTTTCCTTAGACAAAATAAGGGAACTGCAAGAAGCGCTAGCAATTCTGTAGTAATTCAAGATGAGGGCTACCTAAGCTTACTGGGCAAGAGTAGCTAGCCTTGTGTGAGTTTCATTTCTATATTATGGGCATTATCGGTTAAACGATTTTCAAACAAATTTGTTATGGTAGCCAGAATTTATTTTCGATCTCGCCGTTGAGTCAAACATCTCTATTTATTTTTAAAAATCCAAGCAAATTTTCCACCCCTCCAGGATTGCAAACGCCACCTTTGCCACATACTGAGTACGGGACACAACAATTTCGGATACTTACTATCTCCTTCATTGAGCTCCAATAAAAATCTTTCGACGATCGTCGCTACTAAATGCTTTATTACCTTCGTGAGATTTTTTTTAAATTTTTCCAGATTTTCTACAATATACATATACAAAAAAAAACACTCGGCACAGGACGAAAATCAATGCCTACTATGATTACGTGGCTGTCTTGGATTGTCCCGCTCGTTTCTTTCTCTTTTACTCTTATGAGGGAAGTGAAATTAAGCAAGAAGTTGTTGCAGCAACAAATATTAATTAGTTTTGTGAAAAGTCGTCATAATCAATACGGATCTTAGTTGCGATTCAAAGAGAACTCTTTAATGCCATTTGGATTAGTTCAATCAACTTTTGAACCTTGCTTGACTGAATTTGTTCAATGCGTAATAGTTTAGTATTGGTAATAATCCATATACGCCTTTATAATCGGCGTTCTTCTTCTTCTTCCTCTCATTTCAAGCTTATTGCGTATGGCATATTAGCTTTTTGCGTGCTCTCAGTTTAGTGTTCTAGGAGCACTTCCACAGTTATTAATTGAGTGCTTTCGATGCCTGTACCATTTTTACATTGCTATAATTGTGTGGCAAGTACAATCATACTCTATACCCAGGGAAGTCGAGAAATTTTCCAACCCGAAAAATACCTAGACCGGACCGGGAATCGAACCCAGCCACCTCCAGCATGGTATGTGAGCATGGTCTTGCTTTGTAGCTGTGCCTTTACCGACTGAGCTGAGGGAGAACCAAACGGCGTTGAAAACTTCAAAACACTCTTTCTCACAAAACTCAAGATGAAATATTTTAAAACCATCACAAATTTGTTTGTTAGGATCAATACTAACATCCTGTGAAGAAAAAACTGAGGTACATGAATGTTGCAAAAAAGTGCCTCCAGACATAGCGTGCCTCACGGGGAAACCCAGCGATTATTTGATAATCGCTGGGTTTCCCCGTGCAGATAGCGGCTTGCATCAGCCAATACTTTCTGTTGATTGCTGCTTTCTAAATATACTTTGCACCAAACATTCAACAGAGAAAGTGCTGTCTAAAATTCTTCAAAATGTATGAGAAAGTCGCGTATATCTTTGCACTAGTCTTACTATTTTCGACAGTTCGTCAACAACTTTGCAGTTCAACACAACCGCCGTATCATATCGCAACTTATCCGGTAAGGTTGATTTCCATGCATCAGAAGTAGAATACTTTCGCATATCTTTCATTACAAGCAAACTCCGCAGAGCAATTGGTTCGAGGCGTCGGAGTACTGCCATCGGATGGGATCGCGTTTGGCCATCGTCGATTCGGAGGAAAAACACAACACCGTCGTACGGCAAGCCAAGGCGGCGGAACTTCATTCGTCCGGATATTTTGGTGGTTGGTTGGATGCCACCGATCTAGCCCGGGCGAAAAGCTTCGTCTGGCACAGCACTGGAGCGCGGGTTCAGTTTTCCCGCTGGAGAATAGGGGAACCCAGCGGAGGCAACGAACATTGTGGGGCGCTGCAGTACTGGCCATTGTTGGGCTTTGTGTGGACCTGGAATGATGTCTCGTGCAATAAGCAGCTGTATGCCATCTGTGAGAGCACCGATAGAGGGTCGTGTGTTTAAGAGTTGTAGGTGCTTGCAATGTTTTATAGCTGCATAAATAACATTGTTGCGAATGCAGCGAATGAGTGTGTCTGTTAAAATCATCATTGCAGTTGTGAGAAATTTCATATTCATTAAAATGAGTTAAATTCCTATGCCTACTTCAATTTGGAGTATTTTATTTTAACATCGAACGCTTTGGATTTCACGGCCTGCTTTACTGATAAGAGCATTTTGATTAATGTTTGTACATAAATAACGGCAAACAGCGCAAGCATTTCTCCTCACTAATTACGACATCCGACTAGTAGACAACAGTAATGATTTACTGCTCCGGTGCAAAGTCAAATCGTAGTCGGATAGGGTAGGTGGGGCACCAAGTTTTATCTCGCGTGTGGTTCCAGATTAACCACACCCACCGGTTTCATAAATAAGTGTACGAAGTCGTACTTCCATGGCATCGGTACAATACCGGTAAACGTAATATGTAGGTGGTAGGATGTTAATATAGAAATAATGTTCCATAAGTTTTGGTTAAAACCCCCCATAAACGAGCAGCAGCACATCTTGCGCTGTTTCACTCCGACGGAGCAAAGGGAAATGAGAAAGCCATGTAAGGCAAGATGTGTCCCACTGGAGATCTTACATGAAAACGGGGCTGTGATTATACGGACGTACTGTGTGTTGTTACTCGTATACCACTAATTATCTGTGGACTGGCTGAGACTAGCAAATTACGCAAATACAGAAATTCATCGGTTGTTGTAGTTTAATTTTACTGAAAACAGAGGACATTTCAAACATGTTTCGTAGTTCTAGAACGGTTCGATACACGAAACTTTATCAATGTTCTCGCAGATTGCGTACAGCTCGGTATCACACGGGGCATCATTCCAGGTCCAGTTAAAGCCTCGTTCAGGCCAATAGTACAACACCGCACAATGTTCGTCTCCTCCGCTGGGTTCACCTTCTTCCCAGTTGGTGTAGCGCAATCGCGCTCCAGTATTGTGCCAGATGAAATTTTTCGCTCGAGCCAGATCGGTGGCACCTATCCAAACGCCAAAAAATCCAGAGAACTGCTAAGCATCCCCTAATTTCAGAAAAATTACAAGAACTTTTAAGGAATTTCGAGGAATTGTGGAATATCCCTAAGTGCATTTCAGGAATGTTCCGAAAACTTCGGAAAATTGCGGAGTCTGCAGGGATGTTTTATGAATATCAGGAAAATTTTCTGGATCATTAGAACATCCCCCAGGAATCTCTTTCTTCCGGAATTATGTCCTTGTTTCTTTCGACTGTTCCGTAAGTGCTCTGGCTTCCGAATTTCTTCCAATCGACCTTAGGAAGTTTCTGCCAGCGTCTCCAGGAAGTTTCTTTTGTCTTCTCCAGGAAATTCAATTAATTCTCCCAGAAATTTCTTTCGTCTTCTTCTGGAAGTTTGACCATAAGCCAAAGGTTTTTTTTTTGTTCAACTTCTATTGGAAGGTTTTTCCGAAAATTTACTTCCGGTTTCCGAAACTTTTCTTATTTAAATTTTCGCCACAAGTTTCTCAATTCGTGTCTTGGAAGTTTCCCGGATGTTTTTCCAACTTTTCTTAGAACTTTCCTCAAACTTCATCCAGGAGAGCTTCCTTCGTCTTTCTCTGGATGTTTTTTCAGCTTCGTTCAGAAGCTAATTCAAACATTCCCGAAGTTTTCTTCCGCAATTTTCCGATCATTGTACAAAAGCTAAAATTTTGCTTTGATTAACGGCTTTCTCAGTCTTAAAAAACTGAAACGACTACGATGTAATCTGCTCGACATTTCGGCCATGGGTTGTGGCCTTTTGCAAGTGAAAATATTGTTTGTCGTTATTGTCAATAGTTTAGTCGTTGTTGTGGCTGATTTTCCATATTTTGGTTTAATTTGATGACATTTAATTTATAAACTACTTTCTCAAAGTTTTGATCACCACTTGAGGACAACGATAATTTTAAAAATTAAATTAAAAAAATTAAAGACTGTTTTAATACTGAGAAAGCCGTTAAACAAAGCAATTCTCCTCAAGTCCCAGTCGTCACCATCGTTAAAATTTTTGTTTTCAAAAACGGCAAAAATATTAAATGAATTAAATAGTAAATACCGATAAATACCGATTTTTTAATGTCTTTGATCCCGATAAGCTTTAAAACAATCTGGCAACGCTGGCGGGGCACAAAAAGTTTTTTTTGGCAACCATGACCTTACTGGCATTCGTGAAAAATGTTCATGCCATAATAGAGCTCTTCGTTGTGCAGTTTTGTTTTGTTTCATGCGCAAAAGCTCAAAATGAAGTGCAATGCAAATTTTTGCAACAATGAATCGAGGAGCGGTTTGCGTAATATATCCTTCTTCCGTTTTCCACGAAATAAATCGGAATGTCGAGTGTGGAATGTGTTTTATGCTATTACTATTAATATTACAACATTTCCCCTGCAAAAAATGCTATGATGACGTCGTTGTTTGGCTACACAGAGAAAAAAAACCCTCAATTTAAGTTCTTTTTACTTAATTTTGGATAATTTTGAGTTTTGCATCCCACTCTCACTCTTTGTTGTCGTCAAAAATGGAACGAGAGATTCGATTTTCTCATGACTATAGTTCCATAAGCTACTAGTGAGTTTATGAGATATTCTCAAATTTGAGTCAATTGAACTTAATGTTGGGTAGAAAATACTCACGAGTAAGTGATTATTTTTGTCGTAGTTAAATCACAGACAAACAGACGTAACTCTTTGAAAAACTTGTTCTTGAAAACATAGTATCTCAAAACATATAACCTCAGTAACGACATCTATCTGGCTTCTCGCGGAAAACAAGCTTGCTCGTTAACTCGTAAACAATATTGCATAAAATTTCTATAGAATATATAGAAACGTCAAATTGATCCGATGCCAGCGCTGCGGCGAGTAGTTCGCGGAACTGATAATATTCAAATCAACCGTTAAATGCATGAACGAAGATACACAATGAAGAGTTACGTCTGTTTGTCTGTGGTTAAATGTAAACTACTATAAGCGATTTACTGAAAATTAGCTTATTGAAAGGAACATGGGAGATGAGTGAAAAGAACTTAATTTTGGGTAATTTTTCGGTTCCGTGTACATTCTACTTCGCTTATCTGCCTGCACGGAGAAAAAATACCCACAATTTGAGTTCTTTTTACTTAATTTTGAGTTTAAATAGCCTTTCACTTGCACTCGTTATTGTTGTCAAAAAAGGTACGAGATATTCGACCCAATATGTTACTTTGAGTAAATTGCATATTCTCAAATTTGCGTGAATTTAACTTAATTTTGGATAGAATATACTTAAGAGTAAGTAAATTTTTTGCTGGTATTAAATGAAAACTACTATATGCGATTTACTCAAATTTTGGTTATTGGGCTGAACCCGCGAATTGAGGGAAAAGTAATTAATTTTGGGTAGTTTTGACGTAGGATTACGTCTTTCGGCAACATATTGGAGATGCAATTTAAAAAAAACCATAATCGACCGCGTTACGAAAAGTGGTCAGAGTTTGACCACCTTTAACTCTATCAATAGTGGATGGATATTAATTCTAAACAAGCCAATCGATTGGAATGTCATCTACGAATCTACTAAAATGAACACTTTATCAATATTCAAAAGGTCACTATTGAAAATTGCACGAATGTGCAACTGTTGCTATAATAATGAAAATTATCACCGATTGACTGCGATCAGCGCTTTCCCTAACGCAGATTTAAAAATCGAATTCGCTCCGGTCTCACCAAACGGTGTTTATTCAATCATCGCTTGTGATCAGTAGTGGTCATCATCAGCAGTTACTGCAGTGGTTTCGGCGCGTTCTCCAGTACACGACTAAAGACTGCTCGCAAGCTCGAGCTGTAGCCCACTGAGTTGTCCATACGCTGAAAAAGGAGGAAGAAGTTGCACCGCTACTGATCGGATTTCAGTTGCCCGTCGTAAGCCGCTGTGGGCCATCGATGACAAATGCGTCACTGTTCCAAACAACATGCAGCTTGGCAGCCTTATCTGTGTTGAACACCTTAATAGCTCAGCATTACCCAACTATCACGACAAAACGATCCTCTTTAGGAACACCATAAGTTTGTTAAAGAGTTTTTCTGGACACTTCTCGCATTACCTTTCAAATAGACCAATCTACATTGATCGATTCTCTTCATCGACTCTCTCTTTCGTTACTCGTCACTTTGGTAAGAACTTATTAAGAAACATCGTCCAGGATTGGCTACATGAACACCGATAGAGTACCTCAAAAACAGAACTCTCAAACTGCTTCCAAATTTCAACCTATTGAACTTTTTCACTGATAACGAGTTAAGAAATCAATTTAATATTTAGTATACTTTTGCTGTGACATCAAAACTACCTTTCGTAATCCTATGTCAAATCTACGGTCGTGTCTTGGATACAACCTCTTACTTTTTCATCTCCGTGTACCAGCGTTGCAAGATAGACCGATTTATCGGCACACCCCTCACCATCCCTCTCCAAAGGGGGAGTTTGGTAAAGAGAGATGAAAAAACCGATTTGTACCTTCCTTAAAAGTTGTCCTAGCTCGCTATCTACTATCTATGTAAGGAAAAACACGGCTTAACGGTTTTTCTTTATTTAATTGAAAGGATTGCCAAGTTAGTGCTCGAGAAAATATTAGAATAAAATCACTTGACCGAATTTACACGCAGCGGTCGCAAAAACACTCTTGCTCTCACGGTAGACCACGGCTCACTGACTCGTTCGGCTTGCAGTACGTTCTACTGCTCTGCGTCGTCCGTCTCTCTCACTCCTACAACTCGGTCATCCTGCGAGGGTTCTGGTCCCCAGACCCGATACAGCTTCAGATGACTCGCTGCTGTCGAAGTCTTCTTCGGCCCTTCGCCGCTGATCTTCTCTACATCATATCGACTGTTGGGCTTCACGTTGGTTATCTTGTAGGGCCCGAGGTACTCGGCTGCATACTTCTTACCTGGACCAAACTGCGTTCGTTTGATAGC